CTCTGAGGGGGCCGGATCTTCCTAAGCCCCGTGCGCCTCCACCTGCCTGCTGCTACCCGGCCCGTATTTCCCGGGCCCTCGAAGGTGCCTTTTGGACTCGACGGCCTCTCCTTAAGTGTCTGAGCCCCGACCTTGGCCGCTGGTACCCGGTCGCTTGGCCCTAAGTTCCGACGATTCGACGCACCGGTGATCGAAAATGTCCCGGACCGTCGTGGGGGGGAGCCTACGTGGCGTCCTCTCCGGTACATGCAAGAAAATTTACCGTCACTGCCAAATCCGGCACGATCGTTAACGCCTTTCCACCGTCCGATCGGGGCGGGCGCATCGCGACCGTTCATTTAACACCGAACTTCATTTGGTAGGCCCTTGACCCGGTTGCGCCGTCGAAGCAAAAAGACGGTTGCGACAGTGCCGCCAACTGCCGGTTTTCGTGACCCTTACCGCCCATAATCAGCGTTCCCGGTCTGAAGTAGTCAGCAGATTCATGACTCGGTCTCAAACAGAAGAGACAGGAGAGACGGATTTTGCCATGACCGAGCCTCGAGCCCATGAGTCAAGATCGAGTGCTAAGCCTATAGCATGCATGCCCTCGGGATTCTGTACCTAAATAGTCACGAGGCTTTGACAGAGGGAATTTTTGCGCCCGGGGGTAGCTTCTACTTTGATTGCTATCCTCTTTTTGTGTTGAAACCAACTCACTTGTGAGTGGTCTGGGCTGCACCGAGTCAGAATCAAGAGTCAGAAGTCAGGAGCCGACAATACAGGCTCTCAGGGCGAACGAAGTGGGAGAGGCCGAAGGCCCCACCCAAAGCTGTACACCCGTGCGCATCGACTCAAGGCGTGCCGTATGAGACGCCATTGATAGGATCAAAAGCCTGCATTGCGTCCTGGAAGGTTGATCCCTGCATGGTCAGAAGCGCAGCCAGCATTGCGTGTAGCTAAGGAGCTGAAGTCTGAACCCAATTGCTGATCTTCAAACCACTTGGCATAGGCGCCCATTGTCTGGCTGTCTGGGAGGGCAACTTACGACTGTCTACTACAAACTTCAACCCTCAGTCCACTTTAAGTGCAACCCTCAGCTCCCTTGGAATTTAATCTTCAGCCCCGCGTCCTCCAGCCATGATGGCAGCTTGCACTCAAGTACCCTCCCCCGCAGCCGTGGTGAGCCTCGAGAGAGCACCGCTGAGACCTCAGCAGCGGTCCTGTAGGGCTCTTCTACGGCCGAATTCGAGATGCGGGCAGCACGTGCTCTTCCTCGGGTCCTGCCAGGATCTTCAGGAAGGGCTGCAGCAGCGGGCACCTTTGGCTCACTTACGCAGCTCAGGGCTCAGGTTGAAGCCCTTGGGCCGGCCGTCCTCCTCCATTCTCTGCTCCGCAACAGACTCCTCTGGGAAGCCAACATCAGATAGGTAGGTGACTCGGATATTGTAGACAGAGGCTTCCTGCTTGTTCAGCGATATGAGGATATGTTGGTGATGAGGTTTACAAGGGTCGTGTTTGCGGTCGAGAATTGAGCAGGCTTGTCACTGAGATTGTGTTTGGTATAGAAGTATAAGAGAAGTGAACAGAAGCTGTTTGCCTATACAGTAAGCACTGCACATCCAGCAAGTTGCTGCATATTTAGATGCAGATGCTTGTACTGTAGCCATCGCAGAATCCTCTCGTACGGAATTTTTTGCTTGCCTTGCAGCTCTCCCGTCAGATACTTCAAAAATGATGAGAGGCCGGAGGACCCCCTTGAGGTGATTCCCTTCGACAGTGAGACTGGGCTGGTGGACCTTACCGTGCTGACCACAGTGGCAGGGACAGACCGGCCCTACGTGAGGGTCCTCGATTCCACCGGGAAGCTCTGGGTGAGTTTCACAGGCAGGCTTGGCGGGCCTGTCAAGTTCTACGGAGACGGGACTGCATCCAAACCCTACCTCTTCAGAAAGCCCGGTGAGTGTGATAGTGCCCTGAACGAGGTTGGAGATGTGGGTTTTCCCTCACGTTTTCAGCTATACTTAGAAGCTAGATTTGCTTGGTCTTTCTCATAGATACAATGGGGAATTATTCTGGTGTACTCCTCTTCATTTGGAATGCATTGGGAATGCATTGCTTCACATGGGAAGAGAAGTTTCTGATGAAGCTTCTTAGCATATGACAAAAGACGTCAAAAAACTTATCTTTTCAAGAACAGTGTTCGCTGATGGGCTTCAAACGTAGTTTGAAACGTAGCTTAGCAGTACCCTGTAAGCAGATTACAGGGTACTGCTTTGCGGCAGCTCTGAGTGCTCTATATTTTTGGACAGGAGTAGAGCAAGTTTATTTTGGAAGACGATGTTGGGATCGCAGTTTGAGAGAGGCAATGAACTCTTGAGCCTTACGGGTGTGCTGATGGCATATCATTCCTGAGGTTTTGTTGTTCGTTTGTGCAGAAAGCGTCCCCTATGCAGAGCGAGTTGCATTCGCTCAAGTTTCGCCATCTACAATGAGCGAGTCGTACCTGCGCAACGAGCAGAGGGTCGACTCCACTGGGGCAAACATCCCTGGAGAAGAGAATGCCCGCTTGCTGTACAACCATAGGCCATTTACAGCAGCAGCGCTCCCCGCGAGCCTAGCATACCCGGGCTTTGGCAGGTTTTTAGATGGACTAAAGTCGAAAAATGTTCGCCCTGGTAGAGAGGACTACGAGGCAGCGGCGGCGCTGTGCAATGCTGGGCACCAACTGTTTTTGAAAGAGGACAAGCGCCGAGACGCCATCAATGCCATCTTGTCAGAGTTCTTGGAGAAGCTCATTGAGCCTGTCAACTTGGAAGCCCGTGAGTAAATTCTCATTGTCATAGTCTGATTGGAGGCCTGAGGAGGAATCAACTAAGCTCCGTGTGCAAGATTTTTCTCTCTGCTTTTCGACTTGATTAAACTTGTTACTCGAACTATCAGCTCGACTACACTTAGATGCTCTCAAAGACTGTGCATGTTGTGGTTTTGGTTCTCTTGCTGTCCAAGAGACTCATGTCTGGAACTGCTTCTTCTGGATGTATTTGTGTTGTGTCCAGCTTGAGTATCTTAGAGGACGTCATTGCTTCTTATTGAAGGGCATTGCAAGAGCCAACAGATGCTTGGGCAGCCCATGCGCTTACGAGATCGAGCGTGGTTGTGATCTCTCCTTTTGATGGGCGTTTAGGTCTGACCACGGGACGCATGATTGATTACACTACGGACGGCTCTGCGATTGAAACCACCAAGGCCGGGGACTACATGTCTCTGAACACCGAATACAAGAATGAGGGCGGCCCTGTCTACTTCCAAAATCAATTCTACTACAAGACATTCTGGGGTGCCCGGCTGGAGAGTCCTCTTTTGCAGTCCTCGGTGGTTCCTACCTTCTTGATTGATCAGCCGGGCCCCCTTTTCAGGTAGGACGAGGTTGAAGGGAAATGAGCCCCTTTGCAACAGAATCCAGAAGTCAATTGAGGCGCATTTTTGCTCAATCCGAGTCTGACCGAAACAAGGCTTGGAGGATGTGCTCTCATCCTCTCAAATTCACACCAGCCAGATATTAAAACCTTTGAACAATATGGATTGCTTTTGGTGAGACGTGGTCAACATTTTCTGTTCCTCTATCCGCCCAATTTAGGTCTGGCACCCATTTCAGTTGCGCCTCCTTTCACTTTCGATCCACCACGCTCCGCCCACCTTGCCGCTCCTGCTAATACTGTGGGGAGCTTCTCACCGCCATTGTGACCCCCCCCCTTTCAGTGCTGTCGTCCCACCCCCCTGCACCTCCTTTGCTCTTTCTTGTCGCGCCACACCCGCTCCCCCAACACCCTCCGGGGGGAAATTCTGAGTGCACTTTCTACCCTCCTGCTGTTTTCCGTCACCGCCTTTGCGCGTCTCTTCCGCTCGTGCCCGCTGCACCGCCCCCGCTGTCGCAATTGCAGATCAGGGGGAGCTTCTGACCCCTGTCCCGAACCCTCCGTTTGTGCACAGACGCGCACCTTCCTCCCTGTTCTTCTCCCCTTATGACCTACTTATCCGAGCCGCTCCAACAACTGTCTTGGGGGGGGGCTTTCAGCGCTTATTCACCCCCCCTGCTTCCTCCTTTTTCCTTTTGGACCTTCTTTCGCCCCACCGTCCCCTTTTACCCCCGCTGGCCTCAAATCGGGGGCTTGTCGGGGCTGGCCTGTGCATCCCGTTCTGAACGGCTCTGTGGTTTTCATCACCTCCAAGCTTTCTCTTCGAAAGTCATATGGCTTGAGATTGCGCCCTTCGTTTCTGACTAAATCTGTGTTGGCATAGGCGGCTCGACGGGGCATATGGAAGCTTGAGGATCCAAGTTTCAGAGATGTTCGTCATTATACAGAAGGAGAGGATGGAAGTTCCGCTGCTTTTATTGGCTGGGGAACATGCAGGTCCAGCTGTCCGGAGCACCGACTCACTAGGAGTAATCGAGGTGGCTCTTAGATTCTGTGGAGTTTATGTTGGTGGACTGGAGTAGATGTCTTTATACTTGCTTCTTCTGAAACTGGGTCATTTCCGTCTCGTGCAGTGTGGTCGCGGCATTCTTCACGGATCATCTGCACGCGGAGCCGCTGACGCCGGCCCTCAACCTCGTCTCCCTTGAACGGTACAACCTGGATCAGATGGAGTACCTTGCACGGGTCCTTCTGAACCTGAAGCGGGAGCTCAAGGAGCTAGACCTATTCATGCGGGAGGCGGCGAACGAGAATGCCATCGAAAGGCGAAAAGACTACTTGCAAAGAAACCTGCCATACCCCTTCTATTCGCACTTTGAACGGAGCGGATCCATCTTCAAGAGGTAAGCTCCAAGCAGTAAGAGAGTCCACGGTTTGCTCCTTTTGGGATTCCACGGGTTGCTTCTCTTTGGGATTGTACTTTGACCCCGATCGAAATTTAAGCCCGAGAGCACATCATCCTCTCTTTGGGGCGGCTGCGTTGTTTGTTAGAGGGGCGCTGTGGCAAGGCACTTGCCAAAGGTTCTCCCAGGGCTCGTTTGGCAACGAAAGCAATTCTGTTCCGCTCATTTGAGAGTTGTTGGCGTCTGTGGCAAAGTGGCTGGAAATAAACGAACGGCGAAAGGAAGCGAGTGTAACATGATTCGCGAAAGTCTTTATGTAGGAGTTGCCTTCAGCTTTCAGAAGGTTTGAAAACCCAGCCGGCCGCCCTTCGAAAAGTGCTATTTGTTGGAGTCGGCACCTGACTGCAGCTGCCGTCCTTCGTGTTTGTTCTTCTGGTGTTCTTCACCATTGTTCTTCATCAGAATCGGCATGCTTGGGAAAACCAGAAAGCGGATACTCTGCTCTAGTTCTCGTGCGCCGGTCAGTGTGGTTGATGGCCGCAAAACCGCCGAGGTTCGCTCTGAAGGCCCAAGCGAAAATATAAAATCCTCATGCCATGTGAGCAAAGCCGAAGGAGCAGCGAAAAGCCAGACCGGTGGCTTTCAAACCCCACCAATATACTGCAATCAGGAGGCCGAGACCAAACGAACCCGCGCGCCCAGGATCCCGTCCTTAATACGTTCCATCGCCGTCCCGCTCTTTGCTCCATTCCTCCCTCTTTCCGTTCCGCTCTCATTCCGTTCCGACCCCGTTCCACCGTCCCTCCGTTGTGCCCTCACTCCGTTCCGCTTCTTTTCTTCCCTTTCTGTCTTCGTTCCGCTCTCACTCCATTTTGCTCCCATTCCGTGTCATCCCGTTCCATTGCTGGTGCGCGCAGGCCACCTACATTCCCACAGTCAACTGAACAACTGGTTTCATACTACTGTGGCATTGGTCGGGAGAATTTTGTGTTTGTACAGCTATGAGGGGCCAGAGCATAGCGCTTGCATTACATTGAAACGGATTCCGTTTTCCGTCTAATGTGTGGCAGATTGCGTGACATCAGCCGGCCCCGCTTTATTACCGACGGCCAGCGGATCTGGGTTGCGGTCCTGGATACCGGGGAGGAGGTTCTTGTCAAGTTTGCCCAGACCTATGGGAAGCTGGTCCACAAGGCCTGGGCCGAGGAAGGCTTTGCGCCTAGGCTGTATGAGTGCGAGCCAATCGCAGGTACAATGAGTTGGGCATGCCCTTGAAGAGCAAGATTCGGCAGTTGCCTTCAGCCAATTGTCCTACCTTGATGCTCGATCCTTTCTGTTGAGCTGGTATTGCTACAAGCAACTCGTGTCTTTTCTACGTCTGATTTTTTGCCCCAAGAATTAGTTCGTTGTGACGCAAATTGCACCATCCCTGCAGGAGGGTTCTTCGTTGTTGTGATGGAGTACCTGAGCGGAGAGGACACATGGATCTCCATGGCGTCTCTCAAGGACGAGGCGCGGCGGAACGTCCTTCCCCTTGTCGAGCAAACATTGCGCCAGGCGCACGCCGTCGAAGTCGATGGGCTAGGCGGCAAAGGGGTGCTTGGTGACTGCAGGGACCAGAACATCTTGTTACAATGTGAGTCACAAAAATGGACGAGGTAAAGATGAAGCGCGTGTGGTTAGTTTCTTGATTTCTGCTAAGTATCACGCGGGCATGCGTTCTGCCAAGCATCACGCTGTCCTCTGAGGCCGTGTGCATTAAAAAGCGGATGATTGCCTGGCATCCCTCATCTAGCTTCGTTGTCCACCTACTCCGTGCTCTACATGCAAACTAGCTACGCCGTTCATTCTTGCTGCTTGACTACGTGCTTTGTGCATTGCTTGCTGCAAAGCAACCACCTCGCTGGGCCTGCTGTGCGGCACGTGCCACCTATGTCTGCATCGGTCATAGAGTACTTGGTTCTTCAGTTTCCCTTTCCCTTGCAGGCGAGAAGGAGGTTCTGGGATCGACCATGGACCTGCGTGCACAGGATGTCTTGGCCGTGCGTTTTATTGACTTCGATTGGGCGGGGGTTGCGGGAGTTCAGAGGTACCCACCCTTTATGAATACAAAGCAAGTCGTATGGCCAGCTGGTGTAGAGACGGGAAATGTTATAGATCAACATCACGACGTGGATCTGTTGAGAACCGGAGGTCGGATCGTCAAGTAGTTACAAAATTGAGCAGTTCAGCGATTCAGCGGTCCAGCGGTTCAGCGGTTTAGCAGTTGACTCTCATGGGGTCTTAGTGACGCAGCCTTTGTATAGATTGATTGAGGCAACAAATTCTAACAAATAACAGTACATTGTTTCCTCTTGGGATACACTGCATACGTTAGAGAAATAGGAAAAGGTCCGGGTCTAACAACATGAGTCCCAAGCCCGCAGGCTCCTTTGCGTCCAGAGGCAATAAGCGAGGCAATGTTGTCATCATTTGGTTGCATGCACATGTTGAGTCAATTTTGCATGTTCGAATAGCGTCGGCATAATATGGCAGGTTCTCAGATGTTGCCATGGGAGCCATGCAATCTTGTGTACTATATGCCTGCCATGATGCATCATATACATGCTGCACAAAGATCCTGTTGTGTGTTCGGCGATATACTCGTGGTAATGATACATTGCATGTCCAGCTCGAGAGCCGTTGAAGTCACCACGATGAGGGGGTCGAACGGCTCTACAGTTTTGAATCTGATGAATCTCCAACGACAACGTTTCAGTGATCTCTAAATCAAATTGCTTCAATCGCCTGTGCTTGTGCTTCAATACGCTGCATTTCAATCTGACCGTCATGCATGCCATGATGAGCTACAGACGTTCTCGGACATCTATGCGTGCGGGCATCTGACGGATTGCTGAAGTTGGATTTCGGAGAGAATGTTGAACCCCCCTCGATGGGCTGCATGCATGGTCATCGGCCGCGGCCGGCCAGGCGCCCCTCAGCGGCTGGGACAATGCTAAATCTGTTGAACGACAAATGCCTCTTTTGGCTCTACAAAAATTCGTCTTGCCCCCCTCTCCCCTCTCATGCAGGCGGACCGTATGTATGCCGTCTCATGTGCAATCTAGTACTTTCGAATCTCATCAGAAGGATCATATCTTTGTGCCTCGAACGCCGCAAACGAATTGATCTAAACGTCCTTTCTCGTTTCCAGGGCATCGCCACGCTCTACAGAGACCTGGGCTACCCCGTCTTCTTGGGCAAGATCACCTGGAACCCGCAGAAGGGATCGGAAAGAAGCGCTTCAAGTTTCCAAATAATTGGCCGGCGTGCACGCTGGCCAACTGCCTAGAGTCCTTCGTGCGCGATGGCGACGACGCTCTGATGATCAACACCACCCGCTGCGACCTCATAGGCGTCGACGTCGACGTCAAGGACGGCGGTATGGTGGCTTGGACGGCCCTGGAGCAGGCGCACGGCGGGCCGGTCCAGGCGCCGAAGGTACGGACCGGTTCGGGGGGGTGGCCACGTGTCTTTTCGTTCAACAAGAGCGTCGCTGCGGGGCTGCTCCCAAACACACCCACCACCTTCACCAGGCTCCAGGTCGGAGCTGATCTCGTCGGGATCGACCTGCGCGGCAACAGCACACCGGCCTGCCTCGTCGCGCCGCCCACCACGTACGTTAACGGGGCGGGGGCGACCGTTGGTTACGTGGCTGTGGGGGAGGGCATCCCGCACATCAATGACCTGCCCCCTCTGCCGCATTTCCTCATCGACTTGCTGCACCAGCGGGTGACGCCCCCTGTGGGAGGCGATCGGGGGGCGCATGGCAGAGCTCACGGGCCCGAGCGGCCCCCATCGATGGAGCCCGATCTCGCATCGCCTGAGCTGCAGGCGGAGGTGGTCGGCGAGCTCACGAGGCTGTTGTGCGGTTGGGGGGACAACACCTCCGTCTTCTCAGAGGCGGTGGCGTCGTCCGTGGGGCCGGGGGTGCTGTACAAGTTCAGAAACGGGCCGCAGGGTCGAGCGGCCTGCCCGTACTTCCCAGCGGGGACGGGCAACCACGATTCGAACAACTTCGGGCTGTTGCGGCGGGGAGTGGAAATCAGCTACATTTGCCACGGGGAGCGGTGCAAGACGGAGGCGCGGGCCAACAGCATCCGGCTGGGGGCTCTGCCCTTTCTTGTGGCCGCCTCCTTCTCCGATAGCCAGCCCCTGAACAGCGA